TAGTAGTAGTAGTAGTAGGAGGGCATGGGCTGGGACAACGGTCTACAACATTGACATGAACCGTGCTTTTTGCAGAACCCAGTTGTGGGGATGTGCCGTGACCGTCTCCTCGCGCTTCATGGAGAACACCTCGTCCTTGGCAGGGAGACACGGTGGCCGAGCCCATCGACACACATCGACTGGCACGGTGGAAGCCACAGAACTGTGGACCGAAAACTGGAAACGTTGCGGCAACCAGCGCAGCTCGTGTACCTGCCAGGCCTTCAAGAACCCTTGATACCCTCAGGGCTGTCAACAGCCTGAAGCATGCTTCCCACTCCCTGTTGTGAGCAACTAAGCCCAGCTCATTTCTGGTGCCCACGGGATAGTGCAGGAAGAAGCGCTGGGCAAAGGGTTGCACGGCGGATCTTGTTGTTTTCGCGGGGTGGATTTGATGTAAACTACTTTGCCGGGGGATCCACGCTCATCCCCGGCATAAGGACTCCGGGAAAGGCTAAGCTACGAGGATGGAAGAAGTAGCGGGGATCAGTTGCTTCAGGGCTCTTGGGTTTTGTTGCTCAGGGACTGAACTCTAAACATCACACCCGGAAGATGCTTGCAAGAGTACGGAAACGGCTCACCAAAGATTCCTTGGTCCTGAGCTCTGCAGTGCAGCCATTCAAGCTCACATTGCGCCGGGAAAAGCCTTTCAAATTGCGAGACCAACTCTGCGTCCGCCTCAAGGAAGCTTGCATCCTCGCGGGTGTCGTCATCCCACTCCTCGGCTTCTCTCAGTACTGTTCCCAAGGCGTCAATCCCCTAGACAAAACCTAACTGCAGAATGTGGCCGAGCAGCCGAGTAGTTTATTCGGAGCTGTGCATAGCCTTCCGACTTCCCTCGGCTCGACTTTGTTGACATCACCGTGAACCATAAGCGAAGCTTCGACAAAACTCGGTAAACGGAGCTTCGCAAACATCTTGGCAACAGCGAGGAAACTTTATCTTGCCGGTCCGCAGTGGCACAGCCCTCCGAACAGCAGCAGGATCAGCCCGCCGAGAGTGCCACCAATGATGACCTCCAGGAGGCTCAGAGAGGAGCTCCCGGGCTGCCCCAGTCTCTTCGACAGTGACGAAGTCAGATGCGGGAACCCCAGAACAGCTCAGATCCAGTCTGACAAAGTACGATGTAGAAGAAATACATGCCGTCCTGGTTCTCATCTTCCAAGTCTGGACGTACCGATTTGTCCCCCCATGTCCACAAAAGACATGCTGCTACCTCCGTGAACCGGCTTGAGGCGCCAAAATGAACAAAGCCCTCGACGAGCCCCGGCTTTGCCTTCTGGTGGTAAGGCATCCGAAGAATCCGTTTGCACATGGACCCGCCTCACGATGCAGGAAGGCATGCAATATAGGATTGTAGGCATACAGGACTTTCATAGGACGAGAGGTCTGCCGGATTAAGGGGGGCGACTCAGGACCAGATTCGGCAGAACCTGACAGTTTGATTCGCGGAAAATTCGGCCGCATGCATGGCCCCGAAGACCTATACTCTGCAGATCCCCAAGAACTTATGGCTCATGGTACTACATGCGACTGAGGGAATAAAATCGCTTGAATGTACAAGATGCAACAACACTGGCAAAGTGGCGCAAAGGTCGACTATTGGAATGCAGCGGGTTGGGAGCTCAACAACAAACATAAGTTAGAAGCACCAAGGCAGGGAGGTAGTGTCAGAGAATAAGCGCTGGCTCCATGCACCATGTATTCAGCTCTATTCAGCCGGGGTGAAGGCACCGCAAATTGCGAGCCCAGCTTGCAGCCGCTGTTATCAAAGATTCGTCGATACCCTGGTATGGAAATACCTTTGGGCTGGTTTTTGGCCAAGTAGCAGCAGCGACTTCCCTCAACATCCAGAGGCTCGTTGTCGCAGTCTGTGAACATGACCAGCTTCTGCGACTCACTTTCTGACCTCATGCTTTAGTCGACTGACAGGGAGAGAGCAAAAAGATTGACGACAAATACAGAGTGCGTTTCAAAACGCCAAGCAAGACGTCCGCATCTGCCAGCAACATCTCACAGTGAACGGGCACCCATTTCATCATGTCATGTTCCAAGGCCATGATTCCGATATCAGCCCCAGTTCAAGGACCCTCCATTCATGCTGCTGCCCAGCCACGCGTCTTCGTCATCTGTCAGAGTGGCGAAGCCTGCACTGGTCGGTGCACATGGCTGGAGGGCCTTTCCATTCCGAAAAGCAGATAGATCATAAAGTGCAACCGGATTTCCACGGCCTTCCTGGATGTTTTTGGATAACAGCACCCCAAACTCTGTTCAAGGCGTCAGACCAGATGTCCAAAAGCGGCTGAATGTTTCACAGATCACAGCCAAGCAACATGTTTCGCCGTTACCTGCAAGGTTCCCCTCCCCGCGTACGGCTAACTAAGCACAATCTCTTTAAAGGGTACGGTATAGGCCCTATAGGCTGCATGGGCCGTCCCTGCAGAACTTGGAAAGTTGCGAGTCTCGGGACTGACAGTTAAATTCTTACGTGCAAGATCCCATGCTGGCTTGGCAAGCTGAAACTCAGCGGCTGTTCCAAATTCCCACACGACTGCACTACCTGCATGTGTTGGGAGACCCTATGAATACTGCCGGTCTCCTAAACTTCAAACTTCAAACGTGAATACCCCTTGTAACTACGGCTTGCGGCTTGCTGCTGACCGTACATGCTAGAGCTAGATTGCAGGAGCAGGTGCGGCTGCGATCATCCTTGGCTGTTCATGGTGATTCTTTCAGGCTGGCGATGTTGCAGAATGCCACAGTGCCAAATGCCGAGACCTAAACCGACAGCAGCTCCCACAAGTGCTCATATCAAGCATCCTCCAGATCACGCATCACTTTGTCAGCGAGGTCAGGTTTCATGCAGCGATGGAAGAACCAGTGGAAGAACCTTAGGTCACGCCTTTCTTTTTCAGGAAGCACGGCGAGTACAAAGAAGTTCTCAACAGGTGAGCTGCTTGTTGTAAGATCATACAGACTCATACATGCCCGTGGTTCAAGCTCTTGCCGCTGAGACACATGTCATAAACCAGAACGGTCAGCCTCAGAAGGCTATGTGAATGCTTCTGAAGCACGACGTTGTTATGACATATGAGGTGCAATGGGGAAGTCTTCCGAGGATAAGGTTTCCATTGTATCAATGCTTGGCGGAATAAGTACGCACTTCGAGTATGCCACTTGTTCTCTGGGCTCTCCATAGCTGCTTCAGCTTTCGAAAGCGCTAGCTTGCCGAGGCCATGTGTAAGTTTTAAGTACTCACTGCAATCCAAGTTGCGGGATAACAAAGATCATGATGAAAAAATAAGCGTTTCCTGTCACCATGTGCTCCGGCACCATGTACATGTTCCTGATCAGCTCGAGTCAACCCTACCGGACCCGGGCTTCAACAATCGATCCAGACCGCCCCAACCTGGTGCAAGAAGCATCACTCTGATCGTCGCTCACGGCGCGCACACGAAATGCACCCTCTCTCTCGGCAGCCAAGCTGCGGTGTGAGCAACTCGGTAACAAACTTCCAGGACGGGTAGAAAAGAAGCCACACTACGTACCTGATTTCGGCGAGATCCCTCCTGCACATCGCTCCATTGCCTCCTCCTAGTCCAATCTTAAAGCCTCTTGTTTTGGGCCACAAGACAGTGCGAATGATGTAACTTCACGCAGACCTGCAAGGTTCCTCTACAATACAACAACTGGCGCACATGAAACTAGGCTCTTCCCCAACTCTGCAAAGGCCACCCTTAAGAATTTGATGTGAGAGGTTCATTTACTTTGTTGGTGTCATCGGGGTTCTTTCTGACCTCTGCATTCTGCAACCCGAAGTGTCTGCAGTCCATCTTGCTAAACCCTGGAACCCCATTTGTAAAACCCAATTATCCCTGTGTGCACCCCACTTACAACATCATACAGTTAATACAATCGGTATGAGCCCGATATAACTGTCCCCTGAATGTGCCGCACAGATGACACTACTGGCTCTAGCGTTGGCCTGCACATCAGGCACTGCGGAAAAGCAGTAGATTAGAAGGCACTGGTCGAAGTATGGAAATGAGGCTGCTCAGACTACAATGCCCCGATCTGTGCCACCGTGGCACAAGAAGAAAGAGAACATCGCGGTCAAGAATGTTTTCCATCGGACGTTGCAATCATACCTTCGTTAGCGGATTGAAGCAACACTGTCTTCCCTTCGCCGCCCTCTCCCGCCGCTAGATCAAACATCTTCGGGCCGCAGCTTGACTGCATCCCCTGCCGGAAGAAACAATACAACTCGGACACAGGAAGAACGATTCGTGCTGTGACTGAGACGAAAGATGTCTACCGCGCATGGCTGTACCCGTCAACAGTTCCGAATCCCGCCACCCCAAGTGCAGGCCACGCGCGTCAAAAACGTGGCGCGGTAATTGACATCGATGATCAGGCACGTGTAACATATGGTGCCAAAGGTGTAGTAGTCACCTGCAGCCAGGGTGACTGAGGGAGCTTCGAAGTCGGGCCACGAGTCCTATGCTGGTACTAGCAAAGGATGCCGACTGATCCACTTTCAGTTTTTTCCACTTCCAACAAATACTTAATTTGCAGGTTTGCAATCACGGATACACCTGGCTGTACGGGCCGCATGAGATTCACGGGACGCACTGCAGCTCCCTGCCGTCACTTCAACCGCAGCCTCACGTTCTGTGGCAGTCCAGCTTCGAGTTCAGATGACTTCATTTACAAAGCTTTCTGTGAAGTCTACCCCGAATGCCTGCTCCGATAGCTTCCAGGCCGGGGAAGGCAAACACCGTGACCAGGAGCAACCTCACTGCGGCTCAATCAACAAAACCTCAAGCCGGGTCTTAGCGGCGGCTCCAACAATGTCTCAGTGGACTGTCTCCGTCCGAACAGTCATAGGGTTACCTAGTGAAGCAACTCCGAGCGATGAGCTGGGAGCGTGATGCCCAGTGTTAATGAAGCACCCGGGCGGTAGCCGGTAGTGTGCCAGTCATACCCAGGCATGTTGTTCTCCCTGTCGATTGGAGTTCTCTGGAGTGGGTGATATCGAAGACGATGCAGGGCACTGGGGTTATTGGGCAGAGGTAGGGATTACGGCGTCAACCACTGGAAGACCACAACAGGGCCTCCCCACACAATTCTGATTGCCAGTAGAACGAGAACACGCGGAAGAGACCACCCTGCAAGTACTTTTGAAGACTACAAGCGGTTTGAAGGAACATGTGTATGTATGTACGTACGTACAGATGTATGTATATATGCGTATATATGCATATGTCTATGCATATGCTTATTTTAATGTATGTGGATGTGTATATATAGATACAGATGTAGATACAAATATAGATATAGATACAAATATAGATATAGATATAGATATAGATACAGAGATAGATATAGACATAAATGTAGATATAGACATAGGTACAAATATAGATATAGATACCGATACAGATACAGAGATAGATATAGACATACATGTAGACATAGACATAGATACAAAGATAGATATAGGTATAGATATAGATACCGATATTGATATGGATATAGATATGGATATGGATGTAGATATAGGTACAGATATTGATATTGATATTGATATAGGCATAGATATAGCTATAGCTATAGCTTGGGGCATAGACACAGGAACAGCTAGAGCTGTAGACACAGAGATAGATATAGACAGATACAGAGATGCATATATGCATAGATACTTGGAGGTTCATGGGTAGTTATAAGTGGGGTTAGAAATCCCCGAATACGAGTGATCCCCATGGCTGTCCTACTCCCAAGACATGTAGTTACCTAGGTCCCAGATGCCATATATGTAAATCTTACATATATACATATACCGACACACACTGTTGTGTGTATGTGTGTGTGTATGTATGTATGTACGTAGGTATGTATGCATGTATGTCTGTACGTCTGTATGTCTGTATGTCTGTATGTCTGTATGTCTGTATGTCTGTATGCATGCATGTACATATATATATATACACACACACCTACAGACATATGCTCGCATGCTCTATGAGCGTGTGTGTGTGTGTGTCGTGTACATTTGCATATGTCTGAGCACATAGGTGGATACGACCACACACACACACATATCGATGTGCACCCTCTTTCGAAGCCTTGCATGTCTAGCTCAGTCTCCCACCTCCACGCAGTCAACGGCAGCTTGCAGGTTCCGAGCAGAGGTCTCTTTCTTCTCCTCTTGAACCTCACGGATCGCCTCCGGTCGCAGCGATGGCAACACAACTGACAAGTCAGGCCCGGGAGCAGCTCTCCCACCTCACAGCCAAGGGCTTCTGCATGTGCATCACGGAGCGCAGCCTCTGCCTGGCAAAGAGACCCCCAAGCCCCCATGTGAGGCCCTTTGCAACTCAGATCATTGCAGCATGCCTCGCCTCAGACAGCTCCTCCGCAAGGCTGGCCTGGAACTCCGACAAGGCCTGGAGGATCGGATCACTGGCGCTCTAGCTCTAGACTTTCGTGGGTAACCTTCGCTTCCCGAATCTCCGTTTCCTGATGATAAGACCCCCGAAGGCTGCCCCCGCCGGCACCTCTGTAGCAGTGTCCATGGTCAACTTGTCGAACTCCCCTGCCAGGGCTAGGTCTCGGCTTACAGAAACGAAACACAAAACACTCCGAACTCTAAACGGTTTAGGGTTTAGGGTTCAGGGTTTAGGGCTTAGGGTGTAGGGCCGAAAAAGCCTTCGGGGAACCTGGTGGGTTGGGACTCCAAGCTCACCTCAAGGCGTGAGATCTGTTCCAGCAGGCACGCAGCGGAAAAATACGCGTTTGACTGGCCTTTAACAGCATGAGAGTCACTACCGTCACCTTTACAACCACCGTCATTGCGGTACCTGAAACACCCTAAACCCTAAACCCTAGACCTGTACCACCACGATAATTGCCACTATCATGACCGTGATCTGTCGAGACTCGCCTAAGATTGAAGCCCCAAGCCCAGTACCCTGAAGCCCTAAACCATCAAGATCAACCAAAAAAGGCACCCCCTCCTCACTAAGACAAAAACTCCCCAGAGCCTTAAACCCCTAGCCTAAAACTCCTAAAGCCCTGCACCTTGAACTCTCAAACCCTCGATCCCAACCCCCCCCCAAACCTGACAAAAACCAAACTAAACCCTTCAGGGTTTAGGGTTTAG